ACTTTTTTCAGTTGGTATCTAAATAAATATATTTTTCCCAAACTAAACATGTGTTGGTTTCTTATGAGTGCTTAAAATGTTTTTTTCATTCACCTTAGATCTTTACAGTATAGAAGATTTAGTAAATGAAAAACATCCTTGAACAAAATATCCAACTGCCAAATAGAATGTAAGGGACCTCTCTCCATCAGCGTCCTTATTTGGGATTAACTGATTAAGGGTAGCTCACTCCATCAGAGTCCTTACTTGGGATGAACTGCCGATGCCATATGAGATCTGATTAGGCTACGGAGTTCACCCACAGGCAGGATCATAGATGATGCTTCTTAGGTGAATGCAAATGACATAGCATTGACTTAAGCTGCGCTTCAACGTTGACAGTACTTCACACGACTCAAAAATAACAATTGACAAAGCAACCCTTCTGACCTTTTATATGTTCATAACAGGGAGGTCAGGTAGCCTACTGTTTAAGGCATTTGCTCGTCACGCCGAGGATCCAGGTTCGATTCCCAACATGCATACAATGTGTGAAGCCCATTTCTGGTGTCCCCCATCGTGATATTGCTGGAATAGTCCTAAAAACCAAATTCACTCACTCATTCATAACATTTACGTCTTTTATGAGGTTTGCGTGAACATCTGGGGTCTTTGCATCATCATAACGTCTTGTATCACTTATACGCTACTTCGGGTTCGTTGACATGGGATACCTTTGTTCAGATATACCTACACGTTTCTTAGACTGCCAACTTGTGACAACTGAGTGCGTTCTTTAATTGGCACTTTGAACATGGTAGTTATCGATGAGTCGAAAATAATACCTGTCTGTATCTCTCCCAAGAAATGCATCTTAAAAGGGGACACACACAATTGTCACATTATTGATATTTTAGTTGTCCTCTTGAAGTTCCGAGCATGTCTGCAACAGACCAATACATTCACCTGTACAGGTTGTGATGTGTCAACACACTCATTTACCGCTTTTATAGAGTCATTCAAAGTCTCCGCTCTATTGAAAAAGTAACCTTAGTGGTCCAATAATGACAAGACCGCCTCCGTGGTCTTGTGGTACACTGTCCGCCCAGAGAGAGGAGTGTCCGGTGATGATATCCGACTGCGTCACACCAATAGACATAAAAAGGTGGTACTTTTTGTTATCCTGTCTGGCGCTCGGCATGAAGGGTATAAAACAACGACTGGTCTCGTAGGCCAAACAGTGCCCTGATAGACCTTGCTGCTTATCGGAGGCATGGGCTGTCTGGTAATCAGAGGCGCCACTATTTGCTGTGAAGAGTTACGTCCCTCGGGCTCGCCAAACCCAACTGGCGTTCTCACTCACGCTCTTAATGCCGAGCAGAAGTCAGGGTATATCCTGTGCAGAGTAGCGTCCCTTGGGCACGCCAGAAATCTATGATTGTGGTTTCCATGCGTCGTTAAACCCAACTCACTCAGTCCCTAAGGGTAGTAGTAATATAAGTAGTAGTAGTAGTAGTAGAAGAAGTAGTAGAATTAGCAGTAGTAGTAGTAGTAGTAGTAGTAGTAGTAGTAGTAGTAATAGTAGTAGTAGTAGTGGTGGTAGCTGTAGCAGTAGTAGTATTATGTACATTATTGAGTAACAGTATGCTGTGTCATCTCCAATAAAATACTATAATTTTTAACCTTAATGATTTTATCAAATATGGCGGTGTTGTGGTGCCGGTGCTAGTATCTATATCAAGCATACCACAACATAGTCATACTTGATATAGATACTAGCACTGACACCACAACATAGTCATACTTGATATAGATACTAGCACCGCCACCACAACATAGTCATACTTGATATAGATACTAGCACCGCCACCACAACATAGTCATACTTGATATAGATACTAGCACCGCCACCACAACATAGTCATACTTGATATAGATACTAGCACTGACACCACAACATAGTCATACTTGATATAGATACTAGCACCGCCACCACAACATAGTCATACTTGATATAGATACTAGCACCGCCACCACAACATAGTCATACTTGATATAGATACTAGCACTGACACCACAACATAGTCATACTTGATATAGATACTAGCACTGACACCACAACATAGTCATACTTGATAAAGATACTAGCACCGCCACCACAACATAGTCATACTTGATATAGATACTAGCACTGACACCACAACATAGTCATACTTGATATAGATACTAGCACCGCCACCACAACATAGTCATACTTGATATAGATACTAGCACCGCCACCACAACATAGTCATACTTGATATAGATACTAGCACCGCCACCACAACATAGTCATACTTGATATAGATACTAGCACCGCCACCACAACATAGTCATACTTGATATAGATACTAGCACCGCCACCACAACATAGTCATACTTGATATAGATACTAGCACCGCCACCACAACATAGTCATACTTGATATAGGTACTAGCACCGCCACCACAACATCGTCATACTTGATATAGATACTAGAACCGCCACCACAACATAGTCATACTTGATATAGATAATAGCACCGACACCACAACATAGTCATACTTGATATAGATACTAGCACTGACACCACAACATCGTCATACTTGAAAGAGATACTTGCACTGACACCACAACATCGTCATACTTAATATAGATACTAGCACCGCCACCACAACATCGTCATATTTGATACAGATAATAGCACCGACACCACAACATAGTCATACTTGATATAGATACTAGCACTGACACCACAACATCGTCATACTTGAAAGAGATACTTGCACTGACACCACAACATCGTCATACTTAATATAGATACTAGCACCGCCACCACAACATCGTCATATTTGATATAGATAATAGCACCGCCACCACAACATCGTCATACTTGATATAGATAATAGCACCGCCACCACAACATCGTCATTCTTGATATAGATACTAGCACTGACACCACAACATAGTCATACTTGATATAGATACTAGCACCGCCACCACAACATCGTCATACTTGATATAGATACTAGCACTGACACCACAAATCGTCATACTTGATATAGATACTAGCACCGACACCAGAACATCGTCATACTTGATATAGATCCCAGCACCGCCACCACAACATAGTCATACTTGATATAGATACTCGCACCGCAACCACAACATTGCCATACTTGAAAAAGAGATACTAGCACCGCCACCACAACATTGTCATACTTGATATAGATACTAGCACCGCCACCACAACATCGTCATACCTGATATAGACACTAACACCGCCATCACAACATCGTCATACTTGATATAGATACTAGCACCGCCACCGCAACATCGTCATACCTGATATAGACACTAACACCGCCATCACAACATCGTCATACTTGATATAGATACTAGCACCGCCACCGCAACATCGTCATACCTGATATAGACACTAACACCGCCATCACAACATCGTCATACTTGATATAGATACTAGCACCGCCACCGCAACATCGTCATACTTGATATAGACACTAACACCGCCATCACAACATCGTCATACTTGATATAGATATTAGCACCGCCACCACAACATAGTCATACTTGATATAGATACTAGCACCGTCACCACAACATTGCCGTTTGACTAGCTTATATTGGCAGCACATTAAACATTGAATCAACCTGTATCGGACGTTTCTAAATAAGACATGTGTCAAGTTTTGTAATGCAAACTCAAGTGACGTTAAGTGAAATAAAAAATCCTAAATTATTTTATTGATTTCGGTTTGTAAACGTATTCTATTCTGAGAACATGCCGTGTTGCTTGAACTGATATGACGGTCCTTGCAAGGACACACGTCTAAGCCAGCCCATCTATTGCCCATTGCCCTAATCATGACGTAACACGCCGATCTATGTCTCGGGGCATGGGGGAGGATACCTACCTGTATCGGGTGGTTACGATCCTTCCCGAGGCTTAACGTACTAAAGAACGTTCCGATTGACTACCGAGATATGTAATGCTGGATGTATATATGCAGACACAAACTTCATAGTGTATCATTGCCTTCCTCGACACCTCCCTCACGCACAGCTGTAACTCGTAATACCTGTTCACTTCTATTCATCGAATTGATTGTATAACTGATTGTTTAACGCCTCACTCAACAATATTCCATCTGTATGATGCAGCCTTTAAACAACCGATTCCTAACGACACAAACCAGTGATTGATATTATGAGCAACTATTCACGCCTTCAGTGTACGTTGACACGCCATCAACCACGTGACTTCTTACAGCCAGGGCCCCGTTCCACAAAGCGATGTTAGCGCTAAGGTGATCCTAACTCCCATACTTTAACAAAGGCTTAAGATAGTCGTAGCGCTAAGATCGCATTGTGGAACGGAAGCCTTGACCAACTGTAACCAAAGTCGTCACTGGGATCAATTCAATTCAATGGTTGCGCCATATCCTAACGCGCTGAATAATATCGACTATTGGCAATTCACATCGTTATTTGTAGGTACCTCAGATACTTGTTTATGATACTCCGGTGACAAAGAGAAGAATTATTTTTAGGTGAGGTGAGGTGAAATGGGGTTTAACGTCGCGTCCAAGATTATTGCACTTATATAGTAACGTGCATGTACGTGTGTGTGTGTTTGTGTGGCTGCTTGTACTAGTCCGAACTGATGCCGATTTAAAGTGCTAGCTCACTGAGATACCATGCCGCAGTTTAACATGAATTTCCCACTCAGACACAGTATAATGACTCCGAGCCGACCAGTCCTTGTTTTAGCCCCTTAACGCCGAGCGCCAGACAGGGTAACAACAAGTACCATCTTTTAACGTGTTTTGGTATGACGCGGCTGGGGATCGAACCCTGGACCTTCCGCTCTCCTGGCGGACACTCTACAACTAGGCCACGGAGGCGGTCAGAATGTCTTTTAATGCCTTACGTGTCTTCGAATGGCTAACGGACTTTTTTCTTATTTCAGAGTACTCCTCAGCATGGCTGCCAACCAGCTCCTTGTGGTTGCAGTTATTTACAGTGTGTATGCAGTAGCAGGTATGTTCTCCTCACTCATTGCTGGGGAGGTGGGTGGCTTGTCACACTAAATGCCTGGCCTTAATTCCTCACATGGTTTCCTTCTATGCTTACACGTAAGGGAAATTTCAAATTAGACGCATCAGTGATGTCTGATGTAATTCGTTATTTTAACTTGTAAATATGTTCCTGTGTTTTTGTCATGTGAACAATTGACCTGCCTTTGCCTGTGTTTGTGATGGGTGTCACGGGCTGGGCAGGATAGGCTCACATTTTGGTGTCATCACTATTTGATTCATAATCACATGCTCACGATATAGTCGGAATCGTACAATCGTGAGTTGGGTTTAACGCCGCTTTTAACAGTATTCCAGTTATGTCACGGCGTGTCAGCGTAATGTGGGAGGAATGCCCGAAGTGATGCAGGTCTCAGACGTTTACCACTTCGGTGAAACCCACGAGCACGGATATGGTGCTGACAAACGTAGAAACATGATCGGGGCGAACCGGGGGCGAACCCATAATCATAGGTTTCTGGCGTGCCCAAGGGACGCAACTCTACACAGCGAATCGCTGAGTCTTAGACGACTGGGCCACCCGTGCCCCCTCGTACAATCGACTCTGCTTTATGCAGATATCTTTTGGAAATGGAAAGAGTTTTGTTCCATTTATTTACTGTTGGAATACTGTGGCATAAAACATAATCACTCACTTCGATTTTTTATTTGCTTCGACTGTTTATTGTATGCGTGTACTTCATTATTACCGCAATGTGGGAACGAGTCTCCCAGGAGTGGTAGGCGCTGCTACTGTTACTGTGAAGTTGTGTCCCTTGGCTGCGATAGGATCCGCTTGTCCCGATTATGACACTTGGTCTGTCAGTACTTTACCCCTTGGATTTCTGGCAACATTGTGCCGTCACGTCGTGATGTATCGGTGTTACGCAAACCCTTTAATCCATTTCGTTTACCTGCGATAAAATCATTATTATTGTGTATTAAAGCTGAACGATCGCCATTTATATTCCTTTGAAATGTGCCATGGGAACAATTCATAATGATATCGTCACTACTCTACTACTCCCACTACTACTACTACTACTACTACTACTACTACTACTACTACTACTACCACTACTACTACTACTACTACTGCTACTACTACTACTACTACCACTACTACTACTACTACCACTACCACTACTACTACTACTACTACCACGACTACTACCACTACTACTATTTCTACCACTACTACCACGACTACTACCACTACTACTATTTCTACCACTACTACTGCTACTACTACCACTACTACTACTAATACTAATACTAATACTACTACTGCTACTACTACTACTACTACTTCTACTACTAATACTAATTATAATAATATAGGCCCATTTACAGCCTCAGACGTATCCAGGCCAACAAACCTGATCTTGTCCTTTTTGATATATCCAATGAAATCATTTATATCATTGAATTTTCTATCCCTTTTGACGATAATGTTATTGACAAGATTGCGGTAAAACAAGGCTAATATGCAGACCTCGCTTTCGAAATGTCACGCTTGCATCAAAGGTACCAAGTTGTCAGAGTCCCCATAGTTCTCGGTGCCTTAGGTTTGGTACCTCCAAATCTGTTGACTGACATTGGGAGAGTACCCGGGTTTGCTTCCAGGAATACAGCCCTTCTGACAATCTGGGTAATGCAGAAGGCGGCAGTGTTGGGGAGTCTTCACATTCTCGGAAAAGTTCTGGCAGGGTTTGACTAGGCACTACTTCCTGGGAGAAGTCCCATTCGCTGTCTGGACTGCGTGTAGAGGGGGCAAGGGCCCTAAGCTGATGATGAGCCTAACCAGCCTTACTGTGCGAGGATAACCCAAACCCTCTCTGCTGCATTTCATTTTTTTTTAATCTGTTCATCATCATCATCATCATCATCATCATCATCATCATCATCATAATGCATATTATACTGGATGTTACCATGCACATGCTGAGTGAGTGAGTGAGTGAGTGAGTGAGTGAGTGAGTGAAACGCTACTTGGAACAGGATTTCAGGACTAGCATGTCTCTGGTCACTCTATTAACCACTCACTCACTTCACGTCGATTAAGCGAACACATTATAAAGACGAGGTCTCCTCTTTCAGTCGCCAACAACCCGTGTATCTCAGCGTGTTCAGGCCGCCCCAGCGGAGACTACCAATCCTGCAACGGCTGCAACGTGTACGCGACGTGTGCCAACGGCAACGTGTACGACAACCGGCCCTGCGTTGCTGGCACAGTGTGGGATGACACCCTCAAACGCAGCGAGATGACTTCAAGCACCTGCCCCCCGTGAGTACAATGAGTGAGTGAGTGAGTTGGGTGTACCGTCGCTTTCAACAGTATTACAGTTACAACACGGAGTGCCAGTTTGATGTGCGAGGAAAGTCAGAATGATGCTGGTCTTAGACTTGGGTGAAACTCATGGTAACGGATAAATAACGGTCCCAGGTGTCTGGTCAGCTAATTGCGGCGCCTCGTAACATGGGAATCTGTGGGTTTTGAAAACCAATCGAGAGTCAACTATTTACATTCGCCGTTATACAGCTCTAGTAGTGCCGACTGCTGCGAAATTCACTTACTACTTTTTTTAACTTTGGCGAGAGTAATTTTACTTCACAAACATTCCAATAGTCTGCCAACCCATGCTTGCAGTAAAACATGACTATGCTTGTCGTAAAAGGCGACTAACGGGATCGGGTGGTCAGGCTCGCTGACTTGGTTGATGCATGTCATCGATCCCAATTGCGTGGATCGATGTTCATGATATTAATCACTGGATTGCCTGGTCCAGACTCGATTATTAACAGACCGCCGTCATATAGCTGGATTATTGTTGAGTGCGGCGTTAAACAACAAACCAACCTACCGATCGCATAGTCTGCCATTTGTTTACATTCGACAAATACAGAGGACAAATGACTGCAATGTTTAGTTTCGTCCAATCGCAACCTACAAGACGTCGGTCACCGCATGTTACTAGTTCATGTAGACGGGAGACAGTTGACCCACCCATTGAGCGTCCCCGTCTCCTTGACGACGAAGCTCAACGACAGTTACATATCGTGTCAATGCAATGCATAATTACCTATTTCTGCTACAGAAACCCCAACGGCGTCGCCGACGGTGACTACCAATCCTGCAACGGCTGCAACGTGTACGTCAGTTGTAACGGTGGCCGCCTCTTCGACAACCGACCCTGTCCTGCTACCCTTGTGTGGGATGACAGCCGCAAGGTCTGCGATAGAACCTCTACAACGTGTTCTTAAAACACCGCCTGTGTGACGTGTTCTTAAAACACCGGCTCTGAAATGTGTTCTGAAGACACAATCTCGATGACGTTTTCTTAAAACGCCACCACTGTTACGTGTTCTTAAAGCACCGCCTCTGTAATGTGTTCCTAAAACACCACCTCGATGACGTATTCCTAAAACACCACCTCGATGACGTTATCTTAAAACACCTCCTCTTTGACGTGTTCTTAAAACGCCACCTCGATGACGTGCTGTTAAAACACCACCTCTATGACGTGCTCTCAAAACATCACCTCTATGACGTATTCCTAAGACCCCACCTCGATGACGTGCTCTTAAAACACCACCTCGATGACGTTTTCTTAAAACATCCCCTCGATGACGTGTTCTTAAATCACCCCCTCGATGACTTGTTCTTAAAACACCACCTCTATGACGTGTTCTTAAAACACCACCTCGAAGACGTGTTCTTAAAACACCACCTCTATGATGTGTTCCTAAAACACCACCTCTATGACGTGTTCCTAAGACACCACCTCTATGACGTATTCCTAAAACACCACCTCTATGACGTATTCCTAAAACACCTCCTATTTGAGGTGTTCCTAAAACACCACCTCCATGACGTGTTCTTAAAACACCTCCTCTTTGACGTGTACTTAAAATACCGCCCCTGTTACGTGTCCTTAAAATTAACGTGTTCTGAAACATCACCTCTTTCGCGTGTTCTTAAACACAACCCATGTGACGTTCTCTTAAACACCTCATCACAGGAAATGATGTTTTAACTACATGTACACTTTGGAATTTTTGAGAATAAAATGCATGCATTAATATTGCTATTATTTTCATTCCGTGTTTAATTTCAAACAATGCTTCCTTAATTTGGTAAACAAATTGCTAACATTATTCATTCCATTTCCTTGTCTGAAAACACCCCTCCAATCTGTATCACAGCGTATTGCGTCACGCCAGGATGATAAATTGGCATATTTTGTTTTGGATGATAATGTTTCAAACAACGAATATATCATTTCATGTCCACATGGTTTTGTTAAGCGTGTATGTCTGCAACATATGTTTTTATATTCATATTTTAAACATATCATCTGTCAATCAATATGTATTAAGCATTTAAGTTTTTATAAATAAATAAATTTCACCCAAGCGTTTGTTTTGTATGTGTATTGTTCACCGGCATGTGATGTTCAGTTTCTTACCCTCCCCACAGAGTCACTGGGGGGAGAGAGCTTCTGGGTGTTTTCATTTTCAAACTGTTATGAAACTAAGGATGACTTTCGTACTGAAATCGCCAATTTCTCTAGCAGTACCTGTGATTGGTAAGATATCATTTCCATGTTCCTGTCCATTTATGTGAACATTACGTCACTTTGAATATTAAATATTTATAGTAAGTGACTACACTCAAGGCAGACGAACCAAGAAACCACTTTTCATGTTTTGCAAAAATACACCTTTTCTAAAAACAACAACATTGGTTTTATTCAGATTTACTTCAAGGCTCCATTTTGAACAGCAACTCTGTAAAAGGTTTAACTGTTTTTGCAAGCCATTTACAGAATAGGAAAACATTACAACATCATCAGTAAAGAGAAGGAGCATAATGTCCAATATTTCTTGTGTTACAAATATCACATGTTGACAACTATTTTGCAACTCTATAGCAAGTTCATTTATAAAAAATATAAACAACAACGGACATAAAACACAACCTTGTCGTACACCGGAGGATGTTGTCAAGCAGTCCGAACGTTCGTTATTGATCTTTATACATGCGCCGACTGATGCATACATGTTTTTTAAAAGTACAGACATTTTACCATGACATCCCTTAGTAATAAGTAAATACATCAATGTTTTCCCATTCACATAGTCAAAAGCTTTTTTAAAGTCAATAAATACACAATAAAAACGACCTCTGGTTCTGCACAAATATTTAGAACAAACAACTTGTAAAACAAACAAGTTATCAACAGTAGAGTAGTTTGGTCGGAACCCTGCTTGAGACTCGGACAGTAAATCATTTACTTCCATCCAGATTCTCAAGCGTTTTTCTATGATTGGCGTGAAGATTTATCCCATAGCATTTAGTGGTGAAATGCCTCTATAATTATTTGGTTCACCAACTGACCCAGATTTATATAATGAAATAATCATACTTATATTCCAAGATTCGGGAAACACACCCACGTCTAAAATCTTATTGAACAATAGCTTCAAGTATGGTGCAAAGAGACAAAGTCACTTTGAACATTAAGTAACTTATATCATGACGTAATAGGGTAATGTGTGAGTGAGTAAGTTATGTTAAACGCCGCTTTGAACATCATACCACTTATATCGTGTGTGAATGAATGAATGAAATGTGCAGCATTTATTCATTTCATAACATGTATCTGTATGTTTACTTTGAGAGATAATGTAAATCTAAACATTGCTCAAACACACGTGACCGACTCATCGTGACATGGTTCGAGAGTAATTCATATCCGTGATGTCGTGTTGTGGTGATGTGTCCTCACGCTGAGACCTCGTGGGCACAGCTCTTGACGTCAGGCAACGCGTGACTTGTGGTTTGTAGGGACAGGGGTCTGCTGGGGCGATGGTGTGTATCGGAGAAGTATCGACACCCAGACCATGCCCCCCAGAAACCAGCTAACGATTGTCACAATCACGTTTTCGAAAACGGCGATGGCACGTAAGTCGGGAAACTAATTCAGGTTATTAGCTCAAAATTAGTCAAATAATTATTATTTTGTTGGTGTAAGCGTTAAGAAAGTGGGGCGGGGGCCACTCCCTTGATCCGTATGTATGTGTGAGGTGCTCCCTATATGGATCCACAGGGTGTTCCCTGGTTGATTGTGTATCAAAGAGATCGGTATGTTTATCCCTGCACATGCCATCAGACACTGTTTCGTCTCCATGGTTATTTTACATCTTCGCAGATGCAATCTGTACAATTGATGCGGCCATAAATTAGTTAACTCATTTTATTTCACAGTGAGTGAGTGAGTGAGGTTTTACGCCGCTTTTAGCAATATTCCAGCAATATCACAGCGGGGAACACCAGAAATGGGCTCCACACATTGTACCCATGTCGGGAATCGAAACCGGGCCTTCGGCGTGACGAGCGAGCACTTTAACCACTTGGCTACCCGACCGCCCCCATATTATTTCATAGTTACTATTTGGCATACCTGCTCAGAGTTTGAAATATAACCCTTCTGAGATACAGTTATTCAGTAAGTGTGAGATATAATTTGGAAGAGGAAACAATAAATATCCTTTAAACACCCCTACCTCAACCCCACACCAACACCAACACCCCCCAAACCCAACCCCACACCTCCACCCCCACCCCCCAAACCCAAAACACACACCAACACCCCCTTCCCCCCAAACCCAACCCCGAACCAACACCCCCACCCCCAACACCCAACCCCACACCAACATACGCTGTTTTCCCTCTTTTAGTGGTTTACGTTTAAACAACAATCATCATGAAGAATTGGATTGTAATTTTAAGTGTCCTCGTGCTTTTGATACAAGTGTATATTATTACACACATCTTTCCTCCAACACATGGTAGTTGACGACATCCCCACGCAAAATAGATCCAAATAATGCTTAGCCGTAAAATGTGCAAGGTCATTATATCCTGTCGAAATACCGGAAACAGTAAAACCACAGACAACCCTGAATTGCGAGAGGCGTTTCCTGGCAACGGAAATGACAGATCGCCAGAGGCGCATGATGAGATGGGAGTCATGGGGAATTTTTATGCTCAGAAAATCCTCACGTGATGTTTAGAAAAATAGTATATAATAGTGATATCATGTAGCTATTCACAAACCTCATCTCCACACAGAAACAGGTAAGGTGCAGTTTTATGTTGTTCTTTTTGGGGGCACGGGTGGCCTAGTAGATTGGGGAACCACAATTCACTGTGTAGAGTTGCGTCCCTTGGCAAGATCTTGGCTTCGAATCCCGGTTCGCCCCGATTATGTTTCAAGGTTTGTCAGCACCATACCTCCGCTCGTAGATTTCACCGAAGTGGTAAACGTCGGAGACCTGCATCACTTCGGGCTTTCCTCTCACATTAAGCTGACACGCCGTGATATAACTGGAATACTGTTAAAAGTTACCGTCAACCTAATTCTCTCCTCATGTTTTAAATGTAAATCATATTCTATTGTAAATTTAGATTTGTCCTTTCATAAGTGCCTATATATTTAGAAACTTTTCCATTTTCCATTGTCTTTAACATATCATAGAATATATATGTATCTTTATATTTGACACTTCCATGCAGGAAGCTAAAGTACTGTAAGTCCCCATGGTACCTAGTATGGTGATCTACCTTCAGTTGCTGGCGATCTACAGTCCGTTTTTATACCGTGATGTTATATTTAGTGCTATCAATTTTATGATTCTATACTAGTTTTAAAATATATTTCTGTGATAAGTCTAGTTATTTGACTGTCCTTCGTTGGCAGGTTTTTATATAAGTTTCAATACATGTTAAACTATTGATAGTCACGATATGGATGAAATATTAAAAAATTTAACTCACTCACTTATATTGGACACGTGAAGATTCCGGGTTAAAACAGAACCCATAAGCCCATGCTTGTCATAAGAGTCGACTTCAGGGATCAGGTGGTCTGGTTCGGTGACTGGATTGATTGCCTGACGGTTTTGTCGGATCCAGACTCGATTATTAATAGGCCATCGTCTTTTTAACTGCCGGGTAAAAGAGTGAGTGAGTGAGTGAGATGGGTTTAACGTCGCTTTTAACAGTATTCCAGTTATATCGCGGCGTGTCAGCTTAATGTGGGAGGAGAGCCCGCAGTGATGCAGGTCTCAGACGTTTACCACTTCAGTGAAACCCACGAGCACGGGTATGGTGCTGACAAACCTAGAAACATAAGCGGGGGGACCGGGATTCGAACCCCAAATCATAGGTTTCTGGCGTGCCCAAGGGACGCAACTCTGAACAGCGAATCGCGGCGCCTTAGACGACTGGGCCACCAGTGCCCCCCGCCGGGTAAAAGGAAGTATACACCTATGTTTGATGGTAGCTAAAACGAAACTAACAAAAAATGGTTATTCGACGGTGATATATTTGATACGGGTATCATAGGTGTCTGTTTCCAGGCTAGTAATATGTTGATAACGTTAGTAATGCCAAATCTAACGCCGTGTTTTTAGCCGTGTTCCGATGTGGAATTTTACCCGGTACCCCTCGCTATAGAAACTGGACGCTATTCTAAACCACCAACCCTACTATGTGATAGAAATCGAAGTTGTAAATATTGTTTTAATGCTTTAAATATCCGCACTTTTGAAGTTGAAAAGCACTTTCTTATATGTTGTCCTTTTTATGAAGATTTAAGATATGAATTATTGTATGAAGCTTCAAATGTATCCTAAAGTTTTTATACCCTTGACGATATGCGTATGGTATGTTTTATAATGAAATCGGACGACTTACAGTACTGTTTACATAAGCCACTTTAAGTAATGTGTAAACGATTATTATGATAATCTTTTATATGAACTGTCTTTAACAATACTTATATAGTGCTGAAATTGTCATAGCTTCATGCGTTTTATATGTTTTCATCTAATACTGGCTGGGCGGTACATATTTTACTTATGTATTGAATTTGTATATAATTAATCTGTAACATTGTGACGCGTGACACGCAAATACTGTAAATCTTGAAATTAACGCGAACGTGAATTAAATGCGAAAAGTTCGACTGGTCTTTGCTCGCATTAATTAACTTCGCATTTATGTCTCGAAATGACTATCAACAATAAGACGGCCTCACTGCACACTTAGGATAGCGGAAATACCAACTTGAATATATACACAAACACGGTTTATTGAGCTGCAGTTCTAACAAGTATATGACAATGTCATTTAAAGAATAGGAAATACACAAAGGGAATCCGGTGAGTTATCACTGCTGGGTCAAGAGTTTTATTTATCTGTCTCTAATTTCTATGTGCATACTTCGTTTTGCTCTTGATTTGCGGCTTAAAAAATATAGTTTTCTAAAACGACAATCGCATTTGTTCTAAGGGGGAGTTCACATGCTCGTATAAAAATCTGTATTTATTTTCTCAATAGCTCACAAAGCGGCGTTGTTTCCTCTAATGACTGGGCATGTGAAGATCCAGGGTAGAATAGGTCTTCAGCAACCCATACTTGCCGTAAAAGATGACTATGCTTGTCGTAAAAGGCGACTAACGGGATCGGGTGGTCAGGCTCGCTGACTTGGTTGATGCATGTCATCTATCCCTATTGGGTGGATCGATGCTCATGATATTAATCACTGGATTGTCTGGTCCAGATTCGATTATTTACAGACCGCCGTCATATAGCTGAATATTGCTGAGTGCGGCGTTAAACAACAAACCAACCAACACTAATGGCTGTATTTGTCTGTATGTTTAGGAGAATAACATCGTCGGCTTGTTGCAGATCTCACATCATGGCCGTGGGAGTTTATGTCATCGGTGTGATGCTGCTGGTGATTTGCGGAGTGTCAGGTATGTCCAATGCAGTCACTTCTTTGAGGGGGCACAGGTGGCCCAGTCGTCTAAGGCGCCGCGATTCGCTGTGCAGAGTTGCGTCCCTTGGGCACGCCAGAAACCTAGGATTGTGGGTTCGAATCCCGGTTTGCCCCGATTATGTTTCTAGGTTTGTCAGCACCATACCCGTGCTCGTGGGTTTCACCGAAGTGGTAAACGTCTGAGACCTGCATCACTTCGGGCTTTCCTCCAAAATTAAGCTGACACGCCGCGATATAACTGGAATAGTGTTAAAAGCGGCGTTAAACCCAACTCACTCACTCACTCACTTCTTTGGCCGGATGTTTGAAATCTTCGGTTTGGATCCCGGTGTATTTTTACTTTTAGTTCAGCTGCTGAGTGAGTGAGTGAGTGAGTAAGTGAGTATGCTTTCACGCCGTTTTTAGAAATATTCCAGTCACATTTTGAGAGGGGACACAGGGCTTCACACTTGGTCTCCATTTGGGGAGTCACTGGAATATTGCTGAAACACTGTTGGAGTATTGCTGAAAACTGATGGAATCTTGTCGGAATACTATTGAAATTGTATGCTAGAATACTGATGAAATATTGCTAGAATATTGTTGGAATATTGCTGGAATGTTGCTGGAATATTGCTGGAATATTGCTGGAATGATGCTGGAATGTTGCTGGAATGATGCTGGAATATTGCTGGAATGATGCTGGAATGTTCCTGGAATGTTGCTGACATGTTACTGGAATATTGCTGGAATGATGCTGGAATATTGCTGGAATGTTGCTGGAATATTGCTGGAATGTTGCTGGAATATTGGTTAAATGATGCTGGAATGATGCTTGAATATTGCTGAAATGTTGCTGGAATGATGCTGGAATGTTGCTGGAATGTTGCTAGAATGTCGCTTGAATGTTCCTTGAATGTTGCTGACATGTTGCTGGAACGTTGGTGAAATATTGCTGGAATGTTGCTGGAATGATGCTGGAATGTTGCTGACATGTTGCTGGAATGTTGCTGAAATGTTGCTGGAATGTTGCTGGAATATTGCTGGAATATTGATGGAATGATGCTGGAATATTGCTGGAATATTGATGGAATATTGATGGAATATTGCTGGAATATTGCTGGAATATTGCTGGAATGTTGCTGGAATGTTGCGGGAATATTGCTGGAATGTTGCTGGAATGTTGCTGACATGTTACTGGAATATTGCTGGAATGTTGCTGGAATGATGCTAGAATATTGCAGGAATGTTGCTGAAATGTTGCTGGAACGTTGGTGAAATATTTCTGGAATGTTGCTGGAATGATGCTTGAATGTTGCTTGAATGTTGCTTGAATGTTGCTGAAATGTTGCTAGAATGTTGCTGGAATATTGCTGGCATGTTGCTTAAGCGGCTTTAGAACATTTTCACTCACCGACTGACACTTAAAGTGGATAACTTCGTCTTACTTATAAGCTATGAACATGATGAGAAAGGTAGTTTTTTTGTATTTCTTTTAATGTTTTTGCTATAAAATTGTGTCATAAATAAAAACATTGTATTCAATATTTTTTGTACAGCCCGACAGCGCTGCGTGCAAAATTGCAAGGGTATCCCCAACGGTAAATACCAGTCTTGTACTGACTGTCGACATTACACCGCCTGCTTATATGGGTTCAGCATTCGATTGAAGTGCCCTTGTTGGACAATATGGGACGACGAAGCAAAACGTTGCCAGAGGACGTCGTCGACGTGTCCACAAGGACGTAGGTGTTTATATATATACTTTACGAATTCATAAGTATTAACTTTATTAACTGCATGTCAATTCACGAGAAGGAAAATATCCCCGATTTATGCAGTTATAACCAGTGTCCGACAAATGTTTCCAAGCATCAACGTAATAGTGTTGATAATTATCCGCAATATGATTTTTTATTTTGTTTGTTGTTTAACGCCGCACTCAGCAATATTCCAGCTATATGACCGCGGTCTGTAAATAATCGAGTCGGGACCAGACAATCCAGTGATTGATATCATGGGCATCTATCCATGTAATTTGGATACGATGACGTGCACCAACCAAATCAGCTAGCCTGACCATCCGAACCCGTTAGTCACGTCTTACGACAAGCATAGTCGCCTTTTACGGCAAGCATGGGTTGATGAAGACCTTTTCTATCCAGGATCTACTCGGGCCATCGCACAATGAAACATACAACCGATTGTTAATAGCACGTTCTGAATAATTCCAGCTAACAACCCCTGCATAACGAACTGTACGAGTCGACCAGACGGGAGCTACCAGTCATGTAAGGGGTGCAGCCTATATGCCACGTGCTTTCAGGGACGAATCAGCCTGAATAAATGCTCCCCAGGAACATATTGGGACGACTCTCTGAAGAAATGTGAGAAGATCTCCGTCACTTGCCCCGGGCCTTCTCCCGGCCCCGGCCCCGCCCCCGGGCCAACGCCCGGTCCAGGTAAACATAGTCACTTTCTCCTCGGATAAAACTATTTTTATGAATACGCCGTATCCTTTAAGGGGGCATGGGTGGCCCAGTCGTTTAAGGCGCCGCAATTTGCTGTGTAGAGTTGCCTCCCTTGGTAACGACAGACCCTATGATTGTTGGTTCAAATCCCGGCCCAGGTAAACATATTCACTTTCTCCTCGGATAAAACTATTTTTATGAATACGCCGTATCCTTTAAGGGGGCATGGGTGGCCCAGTCGTTTAAGGCGCCGCAATTTGCTGTGTAGAGTTGCCTCCCTTGGTAACGACAGACCCTATGATTGTTGGTTCAAATCCCGGTCCAGGTAAACATATTCACTTCCTCCTCGAATGAAACTATTTTTATGAATAAACCGCATCCTTTAAGGGTGCATTAGTGGCCCAGTTGTCTAAGGTGCTGTAATTTGCTGTACAGAGTTGCCTCCCTTGGTCACATGCATGACGTCATTCTATATAGTGTTATCTGTTTTGTGTAAACTAATTAACATAAACAAATGCATTTGGACATATCTACATGGAATTACTGTGGTCGAAGGCTTTAATACTATTGCAATTCGGGAAGGGAAGGTGTCAAGGTCCTGTAGGTCAAGGTCAAGGTCAAGTAGTATACGTTCCCTGAAACCATACTCGACTCACTTTTACTTCAAATTATTTGAAGCTAAGTTGACACCAATACTTTCAAACGGGGCTGAATTTGGGGGTTCAGTGACATAGAGCCATGTAATAAAAGACAAAGAAAAAATTCCATTGTATGAATGTAACCGTGTTCAACTTCAAATAATGAGGCGTTAGCGAGTGTGGTAGATATTCTATTCTTGGTTTCTTGGTTTGTTGTTTTACGCCGCAATCAGCAATATTCCAGCTATATGACGGCGGTCTGTAAATAATCGAGTCTGGACCAGACAATCGAGTGATTGATCATCGATCAACGCAATTGGGATCGATGACATGCATCAACCAAGTCAGCGAGCCTGACCACCCGATCCCGTTAGTCGCCTTTTACCACAAGCATTGTCGCCTTTTACGGCAAGCATGGGTTGCTGAAGACCTATTCTTCCCCGGATCTTCACGGCAAGATATTCTATTCAGTCGCCTGCTGTTTCAAAATGTGTCAAATATGTCTCTTATCAATAAGCAGGAATCTCGTTTACTAAAAAAAACGTTATAATATGATGCGGTTGTATGATGAATAAGGCCACGTGAGTTGGGTACAGAAACTTAAAACTGTTTTTTTTCGATTAGGATGTGGTCAAACATTTGGGCATTTTCAAACATGGGGTAATAAAACCGTATTATTTAATATGTTACGTCAGCATTTAAAAGACGACCTTTTTTTAGTGAAAGACTGAATAAATGTTAATATACTAATAATCACTACAAGAAATACCAGTTAAAAATATTCAGTAGTAAACGAACGTTTTTGAATGGCGGTGCAACAGGGTAACGTTTTAGCTTGGCTCCGTCTCTACATGTAACTAGTTGTCGCAGCGCACATTGATCCGGGAACCGGGAAGCGACAGATATCATTTCAGAAAGATAGTTGTGCTAAGGAACAAAAGATCACCCATTGCGGCGTATGTAACGTTTTTGTTTGCTGGGTATACTCTCTCTCTCTCTCTCTCTCTCTCTCTCTCTCTCTCTCTCTCTCTCTCTCTCTCTCTCTCTCTCTCTCAAGCCTAAAAGAGTTAATGGTTCTTGGGCATCGATGCGTTACATTAAATCCTGCACGTACTTCATTTTTAATACCTATAAAATATATATTTTCAAAATTCCCGCGTTTTGCGAAGATGATTCTTGTTAAAGACTGCTTGACAACGGTGTAAGGATCTATACCGAAACGTCGCCTTTACATAATTAAAGAAGTTGTTATGCATAAATTGTGTCTCCCTTGTCATCCGTCAACTTCTAAGTAATGCCTATCAAACAATTCATTCTTGTTATCTGTTCTTGACAAATGACATTGTATTAAAGGGCCAAGTTTAATGTGTGACCAATAGATCGACAGTCTTTCTAGTCTGTACACTTTACTGAGCCCATGTGCACTAAATACTAGCCATCTCGGCTATGGAAGAAGAAGCGATGGTTGCGAGCTTGCACATTTTCCAAAATGATATTCACTCCGCTTTATACCTATTAAAAAATGAACAAAAGTAATTAACAGTAATTATGTATTCAGTACATAATCAGTGTTCATTAATCATATTTAATGACACAGCTTATGAGTCAAACATTGAACCCATATTCATTCCGCTTTATACCTATTAAAAACTGAACAAAATTAATTAACAGTAATTATGTATTCAGTACATAAACATTGTTCATTTATCATATTTTATGACACATCTTATGAGTAAAACATTGAACCCATATTCACTCCGCTTTATACCTATTAAAAATTGAACAAAATTAATTAACAGTAATTATGTATTCAGTACATAAACAGTGTTCATTAATCATATTTTATGACACATCTTATGAGTCAAACATTGATCCCATATTCGCTCCGCTTTATACCTATTAAAAATTGAACAAAATTAATTAACAGTAATTATGTATTCAGTACATAAACAGTGTTCATTAATCATATTTTATGACACATCTTATGAGCCAAACATTGAACCCATATTCATTCCGCTTTATACCTATTAAAAACTGAACAAAATTAATTAACAGTAATTATGTATTCAGTACATAAACATTGTTCATTTATCATATTTTATGACACATCTTATGAGTAAAACATTGAACCCATATTCACTCCGCTTTATACCTATTAAAAATTGAACAAAATTAATTAACAGTAATTATGTATTCAGTACATAAACAGTGTTCATTAATCATATTTTATGACACATCTTATGAGTCAAACATTGATCCCATATTCGCTCCGCTTTATACCTATTAAAAATTGAACAAAATTAATTAACAGTAATTATGTATTCAGTACATAAACAGCGTTCATTTATCATATTTTATGACACATCTTATAATTCAAACATTGATCCCATATTCACTTCTGTCCATGCTGTCTAGGTTGGGGTGACGTGATATAAAATGTTCCTCTGATCCCTCTTGTTTTGAACAAGAAAAGTCCTACCGCTGTTCTCACTTGTGATACAGGTTCCCGAGAAACAATTTCTATGCAGCCAAAGGAATTTATCATCCAAAACTGGCTCCCACAGGAGATATCGCTTGGATGAGATCAAGCGATATCTACACTGTAGATATCGCTGCAATGAAATTACATCACAATGCTTTGCAGACCATTGTGACATCACTGGTTACCATGACGTCACAATCAAATGACATCACTAATGGCTCTGCTACTGAAGCTGTCAGCAGTACTTTTTACACTGAAGACACTGCTAATTACTGTCTCCAAATTGAAAAAGTTGGAAGAATGATGTTGGATGATAAATAAAATCTCACTCTCGTTTCTTTTGACATCAAATATATCAACACTCGTTGATAAAAGTGGCAAAAATCCTCGGCAAGCCTCGGAATTTTTCCACTTTTATCAACTGGTGTTGATATGTTTGATATCAAAAGACACTCCGGTGAGATTCTCTATATGTTGTAAAACAATTGACGTATTCTGACATTGTTGCAGCTTCTGATCGGTGTGTATCGGGCTGTGCTGGAATTCCTACTGGCGACTACCAGTCTTGCATTGGATGCCGTGTCTTCGCCTCATGCGCCAATGGCCATCTGTACGACAACAGGACCTGCCCCGCCCACCTGGTGTGGGACGATTTCTACAAACGGTGCGAGGGGATTTCTACAACATGCCCCCCGGGAGGTGAGAAAGTCATGTGTAGTGAGTGAGTGAGTGAGTGAAGAGTGTTTCAATTATGATGTAAACATATGTTTATTCAATGAATCTGAATCGGTGAACAAGCCCAAAGGCTTATGTAAATACCTTTACAGTACAAGTTACATTCATGAATGCATTCAACAAAATAATAGATGATGATAAACTAAATATGTTAACAAAATCAAGTGGTAATGAACATCAGTTTGGTAATGAGTAGAAAACATAATATATAAGTTGGATTTATTGACTAACGTTAGTATAAATTTTTGGAATGAAGTATGTATGAATGTACTGATTTTAAGATATCTAGATTACTAGGTTTTTTGTAACATTTGCATTGCCTTTCAATATGGAGTTAGGATCAACTCCCTCAGAGCAGAAAAAGCAATCACTTCTTACATCAATATGAAAGGGACAGGGGGCACGGGTGGCCCAGTCGTCTAAGGCGCCGCTATTCGCTGTGCAGAGTTGCGTCCCTTGGGCACGCCAGAAACCTATGATTGTGGGTTCGAATCCCGGTTCGTCCCAATTATGTTTCCAGGTTTGTCAGCATCATACCCGTACTCGTGGGTTTCACCGAAGTGGTAAACGTCTGAGACCTGCATCACTTCGGGCTTCCCACATTAAGCTGACACGCCGCGATATAACTGGAATACTGTTAAAAGCGGCGTTAAACCCACCTCACTCACTCACTATGAAAGGGACAGGAAAAGACATTATGTGATACATTTTCATACATGTATCCACAAGAACAGGCTGCATTGTCAGACATGTTTCAATTATATCACGGCGTGAACCCACAAAGACGGTACCCGTACGGTTCGCATTCGGCAATTGGACGCAATCTGGACGCAATCGACAAGAAACGGCAATGAACAAATCATGCCCGTTCAACACGATAGCGTCTCGATCCACAGGACACCGTCCAGGCAACACGGGACATTGTTACGATTTTCATCCCATACAGCAGAATCTGTCACGACATAGTCACGATTGTAATCCGACAAGTCAAAATCGGCTGAGTTTCCGAATGTTACGGGACGCACCATACTGTCGGGAGTGCTTGGCCGACCTCTCTGGACCTTTCCCGATCCGTATCACTCTGTTACGAACGTATACGACAGCGTTCAGACCGTGATATGACATTCCAGATCTTTGAGGACAGTAGTCCGACTTTTTCACTTTTCGTGTCGTAGCGCCGTCTGATCTCAAACGGCACTGTGTGAACCTGGCCTTACCCAGTTGACGGGTATGGTGCTGACAAAAAAAAGGTTGGATTCGAACACACGAGCAAAGATGGTGGGAAGTCTAAGGAACGGCGCTCACACAATACTGTGAGATTTTAGAATGTGATAGGTTTAGTTTGGAGCAGCTCAAATTAATATATTTTATAGAAGTGTTTAGTGTTATTTGGCAGACCAATCAACGAGCTCGTTACGTGATCCTGTTCAATACGTCAGTGACCGCCTACGTGGTCTAATGGTAGAGCGTCCGCCCGGAGAGTGGAAGGTCCGGGGTTCGATCCCCGGGCGCGTCATACCAAAATACGTTAAAAGATGGTATTTGTTGTTTCCCTGTCTGGCGCTCGGCATTAAGGGGCTAAAGCAAGGACTGATCGGCTCGGAGTCAGCATACTGTGTCTGAGTGGGGTTTCATGTTAAACTGCGGCATGGTATCTCAGTGGGCTAGCACTATAAATCGGCATCAGTCCGGACTAGTACAAGCAGCCACACACACACACACACGTACATGCACGTCGCTATATAAGTGCAATAATCTTGAACGCGACGTTAAACCCAATTTAACCTCACCTCACTTCAATACGTCAGTTGACACTTGTGTGGCAAGCATGAATGTCGAGCTCCTGCTTTTTGTAACAACTACTTAATATTCCAGATTCCCCCTACTGTACTAATATCACATTCTCTGTTTGAAAAAATATGAAGTCACTATACAGTTGTGTCTTGTAGGACTTCAGTAACCCCTGGTCTTGTTGCAGAGAAAAGTCCGTGCATGACGAACTGCACTGGGAAGCCTGACCTGACGTACCAGTCTTGTTCCGGCTGTGACGTGCACGCTAAATGCCAAGGCGGCAAACTCACTGATAACATCAAATGTCCCGGCGGGACTCTGTGGGACGATTCACTGAAGCGCTGTGAAAAGACATCGAAAACATGCAGACCAAAATCCCCACAACGTGCTCTGCCTAATATAAGTAAGTGATGATGCAAATGAGGAGGTGTTTTGTTGGGAATGCCCTGATAGTGATTTTTTTTTGGTTTAGTTTGTTGTTTAACGCCGCACTCAGCAATTGGGATCGATGACTTGCATCAACCAGGTCAGCGAGCCTGACCACCTGATCCCGTTAGTCGCCTTTTACGACAAGCATAGTCACATTTTACGGCAAGCATGAGTGCTGAAGACCTATTCTATCCCGGAATCTTCACGGGTCCACTGATAGTGATCTCCTCTTATGTTAATATTTCGAGGTGAAATACATAGAGGTGGAAACTTGTATTGGTATGGTCAGAGGTTCTGGGAGTGGGATGAGCTTGGTTGGTCTTATTAGTTTGTTTTTGGTTGGTTTGTTGTTTAACGCCGCACTCGAGCAATATTCCAGCTATATGACGGCGGTCTGTAAATAATCGAGTCTGGACCAGACAATCCAGTGATTAATATAATAAGCATCGATCCACGCAATTGGGATCGATTACATGCATCAACCAAGTCAGCGAGCCTGACCACCCTATCCTATCAGCACCAGTACTCGTGTTTATTATTTATTTATGCCGCACTCAGCAATATTCCAGCTATTTCGCAGCGGCATGGACCAGACAAACCAGTGATTGATATTATGAACAAAGTGCTACGTGTTCGGGGTACGATGACAAGAAATCGACCAGAAACGCCACCTTCAGGAAAATTCCGGAAACGTCAATTTAACGACAGTTACTGATGAAAAGGCTTGCACTTGCGCAAATGATCATTGCTCCCCATAACTCGTTAATCCGGACGTTTTAAAGGGCGTGTCCGGATTAACGAGTTCCACTGAAAAAGGTTGGTTGGTTTGTTGTTTAACGCCGCACTCAGCAATATTCCAGCTATATGACACCGGTCTGTAAATATTCGAGTCGAGACCACACAAACCAGTGATTTATATCATGAGCATCGACCCACGCAATTGGGATCGATGATATACATCAACCAAGTCAGCGAGCCTGACCACCTGATCCCGTTAGTCACCTCTTACGACAAGCAAAGTCGCCTTTTCGGTACTCATGGGATGCTGAAGACCTATTCTTCTAACGGCGGTCTGTAAATAATCGAGTCTGGACCAGACAATCCAGTGATTAATATCATGAGCATCGATCCACACAATTGGGATCGATGACATGCATCAACCAAGTCAGCGAGCCTGACCACCCGATCCTGTTAGTCGCCTTTTACGACAAGCATAGTCGCCTTTTACGGCAAGCATGGGTTGCTGAAGACCTATTTTACCCCGGAATCCTCACGGGTCAGATATCATTTTGAACCCGACGTTAAAAACCACGAGATGGCACGTGGTCCCGGAGAGTCTTTGGACCGTGAACCTTGGAGAGTTCCTGAGAGTTTCTAGGGCTTCGGTCCTGCCTGCTCCACACTGAGGCAGATGTAGCATATACATGTGCGTCTCCTTGGGTAAGTGACTTTGTTCGAAGTGTGCACCTGTTCACCAAGCAGTGCATGGGTACCCGGTAGGATGAGATGGCAATGTGGTTGTTGACCTTTTAGCGCCTAACAGGCAGCTTGGGTTGTATATATACTCCCCAGGGAGCCGAGAATGATTCTTGAGTGCACATTGATCCAGTGACCGTGGTAATAATAGCTCTTTGAGAATGCCCCTTAGAGGATTATTATTATTATTATTATTATTATTATTATTATTATTATTATTATTATTATTATTATTATTATCATCTCCACAGGCAAGTACCCCTGCATCACCAACTGCACCGGTCTGGAGGACGGTGACTACCAGTCTTGTAAGGGCTGCAACGTGTACGCCATCTGCTCAAACAAATACATCTACATCATGCCCTGCCCTGCCAAAACCGTGTGGGACGACGCCGTCAAACGTTGCCAGGGCCGCTCCACAACGTGCCCTGGATCTGACAACCTCACGTTCGAGCCTCAACACAGTGGCGCGTAAGTTATGGAAATATCATCTAGACAGAGTGAGTGAGTGAGTGAGTTGGATTTAACGCCGCTTTTAGCAGTATTCCAGTTATATCACGGCATGTCAGCTTAATGTGAGAGGAAAGCCCGAAGTGATGCAGGTCTCAGACGTTTACCACTTCGGTGAAACCCACGAGCACGGGTATGGTGCTGGCAAACCTAGAAACATAATCGGGGCGAACATCTAGACAGAGTGATTCAGCAGGGCATTACTACGTACACATTATTATATAAGAATGTTTTTTAGGTGTCGAAAAACTAATGATAAAAATCTAATACTATATTATATACAGTAAACTACGGTTATAACGAACTCAAAGGGACCACTAATTTTAGTTCGTTATAAGCATATATACAGCATATATACATCAAATGGCCGGGACTAAAAATAAGTTCGTTATATCGGTCAGTTCGTTATAAGCGTGTTCGATTTACCCGTAGTTTACTGTATGCTATATTGCTAATCCCTGGATGTTTGAGTACAGTGCCCAAATGCTAGGATTATGGTTACCGTGGATGTTTTATTAAGATACATGTCATGTTGCTGTTGTTGGGTGTAAATTGTCCTGATGCATTTCCGCGCTGAGGTGGCGAGGTTTGGGTGCGTACATGTTTTGTACTTCGGGATATCAGTATGTTTATTATAACGCCGTCTTATACGACGTGTAGAGCGATGGCGGCCTAGGCTGCCCCCTTCATTAGGCCCAGGGTGTGGTGGTGCTGCCCCCTTCAGTAGGCCAAGGGTGGTGTGGTGCTGCCCTCTTCATTAGGCCCAGGGTGGGGTGGTGCTGCCCTCTTCATTAGGCCCAGGGTGTGGTGGTGCTGTCCCCTTCATTAGGCCCAGGGTGTGGTTGTGCTGCCCCCTTCATTAGGCCCAGGATGGAGTGGTGCTGTCCCTTTCATTAGGCCCAGGGTGTGGTGGTGCTGCCCCCTTCATTAGGCCCAGGGTGTGGTGGTGCTGCCCCCTTCATTAGGCCCAGGGTGTGGTGGTGCTGTCCTCTTCATTAGGCCCAGGGTGTGGTGGTGCTGCCCCCTTCATTAGGCCAAGGGTGGGGTGCTGCTGTCCCCTTCATTAGGCCCAGGGTGTGGTTATGCTGCCCCCTTCATTAGGCCCAGGATGGAGTGGTGCTGTCCCTTTCATTAGGCCCAGGGTGTGGTGGTGCTGCCCCCTTCATTAGGCCCAGGGTGTGGTGGTGCTGCCCCCTTCATTAGGCCCAGGGTGTGGTGGTGCTGTCCTCTTCATTAGGCCCAGGGTGTGGTGGTGCTGCCCCCTTCATTAGGCCCAGGGTGTGGTGGTGCTGCCCCCTTCATTAGGCCAAGGGTGGGGTGGTGCTGCCCCCTTCATTAGGCCCAGGGTGTGGTGGTGCTGCCCCCTTCATTAGGCCCAGGGTGTGGTGGTGCTGCCCCCTTCATTAGGCCCAGGGTGTGGTGGTGCTGCCCCCTTCATTAGGCCAAGGGTGGGGTGGTGCTGCCCCCTTCATTAGGCCCAGGGTGTGGTGGTGCTGTCCTCTTCATTAGGCCCAGGGTGTGGTGGTGCTGCCCCCTTCATTAGGCCCAGGGTGTGGTGGTGCTGCCCCCTTCATTAGGCCAAGGGTGGGGTGGTGCTGCCCCCTTCATTAGGCCCAGGGGTGGGGTGGTGCTGCCCCCTTCATTAGGCCAAGGGTGGGGTGGTGCTGCCCCCTTCATTAGGCCCAGGGTGTGGTGGTGCTGCCCCCTTCATTAGGCCAAGGGTGGGGTGGTGTTGCCCCCTTCATTAGGCCAAGGGTGTGGTGGTGCTGTCCTCTTCATTAGGCCCAGGGTGTGGTGGTGCTGCCCCCTTCATTAGGCCAAGGGTGGGGTGCTGTTGTCCCCTTCATTAGGCCCAGGGTGTGGTTATGCTGCCCCCTTCATTAGGCCCAGGATGGAGTGGTGCTGTCCCTTTCATTAGGCCCAGGGTGTGGTGGTGCTGCCCCCTTCATTAGGCCCAGGGTGTGGTGGTGCTGCCCCCTTCATTAGGCCCAGGGCGGGGTGGTGCTGCCCTCTTCATTAGGCCAGGGTGTGGTGGTGCTGCCCTCTTCATTAGGCCAGGGTGTGGTGGTGCTGCCCTCTTCATTAGGCCCAGGGCGGGGTGGTGCTGCCCTCTTCATTAGGCCAGGGTGTGGTGGTGCTGCCCTCTTCATTAGGTCAGGGTGGAGTGGTGCTGCCCTCTTCATTAGGCCAGGGTGTGGTGGTGCTGCCCTCTTCATTAGGCCAGGGTGTGGTGGTGCTGCCCTCTTCATTAGGCCAGGGTGTGGTGGTGCTGCCCTCTTCATTAGGCCAGGGTGGAGTGGTGCTGCCCTCTTCATAAGGCCAGGGTGGAGTGGTGCTGCCCTCTTCATTAGGCCAGGGTGTGGTGGTGCCCCCTTCATTAGGCCCAGGGCGGGGTGGTGCTGTCCCCTTCATTAGGCCAGGGTGGGGTGCTGCCCCCTTCATTAGGCCCAGGGTGGGGTGCTGCCCCCTTCATTAGGCCAGGGTGGGGTGGTGCTGCCCCCTTCATTAGGCCAGGGTGGGGTGCTGCCCCCTTCATTAGGCCCAGGGTGGGGTGCTGCCCCCTTCATTTGGCCAGGGTGGGGTGCTGCCCCCTTCATTAGGCCAGGGTGTGGTGGTGCTGTCCCCTTCATTAGGCCCAGGGTGGGGTGCTGCCCCCTTCATTAGGCCAGGGTGGGGTGCTGCCCCCTTCATTAGGCCAGGGTGGGGTGGTGCCCCCTTCATTAGGCCAGGGGTGGGGTGGTGCTGCCCCCTTCATTAGGCCCAGGGTGGGGTGGTGCTGCCCCCTTCATTAGGCCCAGGGTGGGGTGGTGCCCCCTTCATTAGGCCAAGGGTGGGGTGGTGCTGCCCCCTTCATTAGGCCCAGGGTGGGGTGGTGGTGCCCCCTTCATTAGGCCAGGGTGGGGTGGTGCTGCCCCCTTCATTAGGCCCAGGGTGGGGTGCTGCCCCCTTCATTAGGCCAGGGTGGGGTGGTGCCCCCTTCATTAGGCCCAGGGTGGGGTGGTGCCCCCTTCATTAGGCCAGGGGTGGGGTGGTGCTGCCCCCTTCATTAGGCCCAGGGTGGGGTGGTGCTGCCCCCTTCATTAGGCCAGGGTGGGGTGGTGCTGCCCCCTTCATTAGGCCAGGGTGGGGTGCTGCCCCCTTCATTAGGCCAGGGTGGGGTGTGGTGGTGCTGCCCCCTTCATTAGGCCCAGGGTGGGGTGGTGCTGCCCCCTTCATTAGGCCAGGGTGGAGTGGCGCTGCCCCCTTCATTAGGCCCAGGGTGGGGTCGTGCCCCCTTCATTAGGCCCAGGGTGGGGTGGTGCTGCCCCCTTCATTAGGCCAGGGTGGAGTGGTGCTGCCCCCTTCATTAGGCCAGGGTGGAGTGGTGCTGCCCCCTTCATTAGGCCAGGGTGGGGTGGTGCTGCCCCCTTCATTATGCGAGGGTGGAGTGGTGCTGCCCCCTTCATTAGGCCCAGGGTGGGGTGGTGCTGCCCCCTTCATTAGGCCCAGGGTGTGGTGGTGCCCCCTTCATTAGGCCAGGATGGAGTGGTGCTGCCCCCTTCATTAGGCCCAGGGTGTGGTGGTGCCCCCTTCATTAGGCCCAGGGTGTGGTGGTGCCCCCTTCATTAGGCCCAGGGTGGGGTGGTGCTGCCCCCTTCATTAGGCCCAGGGTGGGGTGCTGCCCCCTTCATTAGGCCCAGGGTGGGGTGGTGCTGCCCCCTTCATTAGGCCCAGGGTGTGGTGGTGCCCCCTTCATTAGGCCCAGGGTGGGGTGGTGATGCCCCCTTCATTAGGCCCAGGGTGGGGTGATGCCCCCTTCATTAGGCCCAGGGTGGGGTGCTGCCCCCTTCATTAGGCCAGGGTGGGGTGCTGCCCCCTTCATTAGGCCAGGGTGGGGTGGTGCTGGTCGTTTCGGGAGATGCAGTAGCGGCAGTACCGGAAGTTCTGTCATGATATTAGAAGTATTAGTAGTATTTGTGAGTATTCGTAGTGTTTGTGTTAGTGGTAGTGGTGTCAGTGGTGTGACGGTAGTGTTAGTAGCAGTGGTGTTAGTGTGAGTGTTAGTGGTGTTTGTGTTAGTGTTCATGGTAGTGATGTTACTGTAAGTGTTAGTGGTGTTCGTGTTTGTATTAGTGATAGTGGTGTTAGTGTTGTTAGTGGTGTTTGTGTTAGTGTTAGTGTTTGTGGTGTTAGTGTTAGTGTTGTAAGTGGTGTTTGTGTTAGTGTTAGTGTTTGGAGTGTTAGCGTTAGTGTTAGTTTTAATGTAAGTTTTAGTGTTAGTGTTAGTGGTGTTAGTAGTGTTAGTGTTAGTGTTGTTATGGTTAGTGTTAGTGTTAAGTGGTTTTAGTGTAAGTGTTTGTGTTTGTAGTGTTAGTGTTTATGGTAGTGATGTTAGTGTAAGTGTTGTTAGTGTTAGTGGTAGGGATAGCGATAGAAGTATTGACGGTAACAGAAAATTCATTTCCAGATGCTACGTTCAGTTCACATGTTATAATGTCTGACTGATGCTACTTGCCTTATTTACAATCGTAAGTTCAAAATTTAAACATATAATTAAATACATGTATGAATTATTTTCAGAAGAGGCTGCGACTGATATGCATGAGATTCCATAACACAACCTAAACGGTCACCGATTGCCCCATTGACCTTACTGGACACAGCTGTGAACTGATGTCATTGCGTTTGTAAATAAATGAGTTTGCATAAGCCATTCATTGGTCATGTTATTTATTTACATTCAAACTAAGCTGAATGAAGCAACTGTTAAGATCAACAAAAGAGCATAGCTCAAAACAAACATTCTATCATGTACGCGTGTGTGTGTTGGGGGTAGGGATGAACTAGAACTAAACATCCGATGTGACTATGAAGAACAATGAAATGTATTTTATAAAAATAAAAGCGAGTGATTTTTCAGATGTACAAGCATTAAATATACAAAAAAGACACGGTATTGAATCGCTGAACGGTAGATCTGAATTACCTTCTGTCCCTTACATCATTTGGACCGCCTCCGTGGTCTAGTGGTAGAGCGTCCGCCCGGAGAGGGGAAGGTCCGGGGTTCGATCCCCGGGCGCGTCATACCAAAAAACGTTAAAAGATGGTACTTGTTGTTACCCTGTCTGGCGCTCGGCATTAAGGGGCTAAAACAAGGACTGGTCGGCTCGGAGTCAGTATACTGTATCTGAGTTGGGTACTTAATTCATGTTAAAACTGCGGCATGGTATCTCAGTGGGCTAGCACTATATATCGGCATCACAAGCAGACACACACACACACACACACACACACACACACACACACGTGCATGCACGTCGCTATGTAAGTACAATAATCTTGGACGCGACGTGAAACCCAATTTCACCTCACCTCACCTTACATCGTTTACATAGAGATGGAAATCAGTGGCATCAGCGGCAACAGTGTCTTAGACATCAGCTTTGAAACCGAAACGCCGCGGCTCCTAGAATACAATGTTTGTTCCTAATACAGGATACTTACCATCCCCAAACACACAGGCGTGATAACCTCTATTTCTCATCGTTAAACAATAGATAAAACGGTAAGACAGTAGAATCCCCACTCCTACATTCATCAATGTGTTTGCTTTCATTTATACAACGTTCAATTGGATCTTGAACTTGCTGTGTATAGTGATTCGGTCTGTTAGTTATATACCAGTTTCTCCAATATTATGCTCACCACACACCCACACGTTAAAACATATATAACATCTTTAAAGCGGCAGTTCATGTTGTTTGTGACAGTAAATTGTTTATCGACGCAATAGTTGCAGTCTTCAATTATTGTTGGGCAAGTTCCACATCGAGGTGTGTGACATTTTGTTACACTGACGGTATTTGTATTTTGTGAGTATAGATAGGCAAAGGATTTGTTAGAGATGTTTAGGCTGTCTAGTGCTACGCAAACGTTACGCTTAGATAGCCATTTTTTTAGTTTTACGTCGCTGTAAAATTGGAAGTTGGCTTTCATGAGGGGCATAATGTTACAGTTACTAGAATTGTAGGGACACACAGATGAAAGAATCTCCGTGTCTGTATCTGTTTATGTAGACTAACGGGATCAAGTGGTCAGGCTCGCTGACTTGGTTGATGCATGTCATCGATCCTAACTGCGTGGATCAATGCTCATGATATCAATCACTGGATTGTCTGGTCCAGACTCGATTATTGTCAGACAGCCGTCGTATAGCTGGAATATTGATGAGTGCGGCGTTAAACCACAAACAAACAAATTTCATCTTGGTTTCTCGTGGGACTTTCATTGCTTTTTTTACAGCGGCGCCAACCACTTCACACTGATATCCTTGTAGTTGTAGAGTGAGTGAGTGAGTTTGGTTTAACGCCGCTTTTAACAGTACTCCAGTTATATCACGGCGTGTCAGCTTAATGTGGGAGAAAAGCCCGAAGTGATGCAGGTCCTAGACGTTTACCACTTCGGTGAAACCCACGAGCACGGGTATAGTGCTGACAAACCTAGAAACATAATCGGGGCGAACCGGGATTCGAACCCACAATCATAGGTTTCTGGCGTGCCCAAGGGACGCAACTCTGCACAGCGAATTGCGGTGCCTAAGACGACTGGGTCACACGTGCCCCCTGTAGTTGTAGATGTGTCTTTAATTCTTTTATTAAGTTACGTGTGCCACGGAGGACATACATTGAATTGCCGTTATTGATGCGTGTTCTTGGCTGTTAGTAAATATCTGTGTTTAATTAGTCTTGCTTTATGACTTTCACGTCCAGAAAATGAAATCTCAGTATGGTCACATTCCATAGTAAATGAAATTAAAGAATGGATCGAATCAAGAATCTTCCGGAAATTGTCTAACTCTTCCCACTGTTGAGAACCACATAAGAACACAGTCGTTGAGCTGTATTTTCATCCATCGAAGTTTCTACTTTGCAAATATATGACGGCACATGCTATGTGACGACCGTCGAATAACTTTGACGCTTCAGTGACAAAAATAGTGTCCGACGCATTTCTCTATTTTGACTTGTACTATATGGTCCCGTGTTTTTCAGGTGACCAGTTGACTTGCCTTTGCATGTGTTTGTGATGGGTGCCACCGGTGTGGCAGGACACGCTCACCTTTTCGAGAACACCTTGTTTAATCACTATTTGATAGTGATTCATAAACACATGCTCACGATATAATCGGAATCGTACAATCTACTCCATTTCTATTGGATATGGAAAGGGTTTTGTCGCTTTATTTCAAATTCATAGAAATATTAACGAGGTATAAATATATATCAAATACAGTACACTACGGTTATAACGAACACGCTTATAACGAACTGACGGATATAACGAACTTACCTTTTTGTCCCGACTATTTGCTGTAGTTATGCTGTATATACGCATATAATGAACCACGGCTACAACGAACTAAAATAAGTGGTCCCTTTGAGTTCGTTATAACCGCAGTTAACTGTAGGAAGTATACGTGTATAGTGCTGACAAACCTAGAAACATAATCGGGGCGAACTTCGGACTCGAACCAACGATTATAGGTTTATGGCCTTAGGATCTCTCACTTGAGGTGAAGGTGAGGTGAAATTGGATTTAACGTCGCGTCCAAGATTATTGCACTTATATAGCGACGTGCATGCACGTGTGTGTGTGTGTGTGTGTGTGTGTGTGTGTGTGTGTGTGTGTGTGGCTGCTTGCACTAGAACGGACTGATGCCGATTTATAGTGCTAGCTCACTGAGATACCATGCCGCAGTTTAACATGAATACCCCACTCAGACACAGTATACTGACTCCGAGCCGACCAGTCCTTGCTTTAACCCCTTAATGCCGAGTGCCAGACAGGGTAACAACAAATACCATCTTTTAACGTCTTTTGGTATGACGCGGCCGGGGATCGAACCCCGGGCGGACGCTCTACCACTAGACCACGGAGGCGGTCTCTCTCACTTGAACTGATTAATCACGGGGTTCGGTTTCATATCCATACATATACATGCCAATATTCATTCAGTGCTTAGGGCCAACCTAACTGTTATCGTTGAATTATGACATCGTAATATCGTGTTTATCTCTGATCACTTCCTTTTATTCGCCTGTAATCAGTACATCGATATCATACAGTTTAACACTTGATAAATACGCACGGATAGTCAAATAAAGAGGCCCGTATCACGTCATCACGCCCATTATGAACACCTCTCCAGCACTATTGCTGATCCAGGCATCGCCCAAGGGGCGTCAAGAGGCCGGGGCGTAGCCTGGGGTCAGTTGGGCGATGGGGAGACGATAATGCCGAATAATCTCCAGACATACGGTTATATAAACTCTACACGCAAGTACAACATATGCAAGCATCAGTTCTGCGTCCACATCCAAAGGTAAGAGTAAAATATTTGCTGTTTCTGGTAACAGTTGTATGATTTATGTAGTGGTGGCGTCCAACTCCTTGTAGATGGTACTTATTGTTACCCTGTCTGGCGCTCGGCATTAAGGGGCTAAAACAAGGACTGGTCGGCTCGGAGTCAGTATAGTGTGTCTGAGTGGGGTATTCGTTTGAAACTGCGACATGGTATCTCAGTGAGCTAGCACTATAAATCGGCATCAGTCCGGACTAGTACAAGCAGCCACACACACATAAGTACAATAATCTTGGACGCGACGTTAAACCCCATTTCACCTCACCTCACCTCCAACTACTTGAATATGAAGTGCTGAAACATTAACTGAACAGGTGAACAAGAACCTCTGTTGAGTACACTATGGCCACCTGCCTCATCTCGGTAAGGGTGGTTTTAGGCCCCTTTAAGCAATACTCTAGCAATATCAGCCGGCAATACCAGACATGGGCATCCCTCATTGTACTTATGTGGGAATCGAAGTGAGTGAGTGAGTGAGATGGGTTTAACGCCGCTTTTAACAGTATTACAGTTATATCACGGCGTGTCAGCTTAATGTGGGAGGAAAGCCCGAAGTGATGCAGGTCTCAGACGTTTACCACTTCGGTGAAACCCACGAGCACGGGTATGGTGCTGACAAACCTAGAAACATAATCGTGGTGAACCGGGATTCGAACCCACAATCATAGGTTTCTGGCACAGCGAATCGCGGCGCCTTAGACGACTGGGCCACCCGTGCCCCCTTGGGAATCAAACCAGGGCCTTTTTGGTGTGACGAGCAAACGCTTTAACCACTTCGCTATACCACCGCTCCGGTGAGTGAGTGAAGTTAACGAGGCTTCCAACAGTGTTTCTGTTTTGTAATACTGTGCCAGCTTAGATGTTTGAAATCAGTGAGAAAGAATATATCGCTGACAGTCCATGTATCATAGCCTGGGATTCGAACCACGGTCACAGATCGACATGCCTAAATGCACAGCGAAGGCACCAGTGACTATATAATATTCACTAAACGTCATCTCGAAACCAGCAGAGTCATGATAATGTCATTTGAAACCTCTGATCAGAATTGTGGATGATGCAGTCATTGTAGGAGATTTGACGTGATAAAGTGTTGCAGTGGACCTGTTTTATTTCTGAAATGAACAGAACGTAGTACATATTACATTTGAAACATATGAGTGCGGATGACTACGTGAGATTCCTTTACACATTTTATGAGTGGGCGAGTAAGGTTTTACGCCGCATTTAGTAATATTCCAGCAATATCATGGAACATTTAGCAATATTCCAGCAATATCATGGTGCATTTAGAAACATTCCAGCAATGTCAGGACGCTTATAGCAATATTCTAGCAATGTCATGACGCTTTTAGCAATATTTTAGCCATGTCATGACGCTTTTAACAATATTCTAGCAATGTAATGGCGCTTTTAGCAATATTTCAGCAATATCATGACGCTTTTAGCAATATACCAGCAAAATCATGGAGCTTTTAGCAATATTCCAGCAATGTCATTATGCTTTTAGCAATATTCCAGCAATATAATTATGCTTTTAGCAATATTCCAGCAATGTCATGATGCTTTTAGCAATATTCTAGCAATGTCAGGATGCTTTTAGCAATATTCCAGCAATATCATGGAGCTTTTAGCAATATTCCAGCAATATCATGATGCTTTTAGCAATATTCCAGCAATGTCGTGGGAGGGGACGTCTAAAATAACCTTCTTACATTTAACCCACGTGGGCAACCAAACCCGGTCCTTCTGCGTGACGAGCGAGCGCTGAAACCACAAGGCCACCCCACCAACCATTAGACACGTAGATGATAACGTTCAGTAGTGTGATGTGTGCTACCTGTTCACACAAGACTGAAACCACAAGGCTGCCCCACCAACCATTAGACATGTAGATGATAACGTTCAGTAATGTGATGTGTCCTACAAGGCCGCCCCACCAACCATTAGACATGTAGATGATAACGTTCAGTAGTGTGATGTATCCTACCTGTTCACACAAGACTGAAACCACAAGGCCGCCCCACCAACCATTAGACACGTAGATGATAACGTTCAGTAGTGTGATGTATCCTACCTGTTCACACAAGACTGAAACCACAAGGCCGCCCCACCAACCATTAGACATGTAGATGATAACGTACAGTAATGTGATGTGTCCCACAAGGCTGCCCCACTAACCATTAGACATGTAGATGATAACGTTCAGTAGTGTGGTGTGTCCCACAAGGCCGCCCCACCAACCATCAGACATGTAGATGATAACGTACAGTAGTGTGATGTGTCCCACAAGGCTGCCCCACCAACCATTAGACATGTAGATGATAACGTTCAGTAGTGTGGTGTATCCTACCTGTTCACACAAGACTGAAACCACAAGGCCGCCCCACCAACCATTAGACATGTAGATGATAACGTTCAGTAGTGTGATGTGTCCGACAAGGCCACCCCACCAACCATCAGACATGTAGATGATAACGTTCAGTAGTGTGATGTGTCCGACAAGGCCACCCCACCAACCATCAGACATGTAGATGATAACGTTCAGTAGTGTGATGTGTCCTACCTGTTCACACAAGACTGAAACCACAAGGCCGCCCCACCAACCATTAGACATGTAGATGATAACGTTCAGTAGTGTGATGTGTCCGACAAGGCCACCCCACCAACCATTAGACATGTAGATGATAACGTTCAGTAGTGTGATGTATCCTACCTGTTTACACAAGACTGAAACCACAAGGCCGCCCCACTAACCATTAGACATGTAGATGATAACGTACAGTAGTGTGATGTATCCTACCTGTTCACACAAGACTGAAACCACAAGGCCGCCCCACCAACCATTAGACATGTAGATGATAACGTACAGTAATGTGATGTGTCCCACAAGGCAGCCCCACTAACCATTAGACATGTAGATGATAACGTTCAGTAGTGTGATGTGTCCCACAAGGCAGCCCCACTAACCATTAGACATGTAGATGATAACGTTCAGTAGTGTGATGTGTCCTACAAGGCTGCCCCACCAACCATTAGACATGTAGATGATAACGTTCAGTAGTGTGATGTATCCGACAAGGCCACCCCACCAACCATCAGACATGTAGATGATAACGTTCAGTAGTGTGATGTGTCCTACAAGGCCGCCCCACCAACCATTAGACATGTAAATGATAACGTACAGTAGTGTGATGTGTCCGACAAGGCCACCGCACCAACCATTGGACATGTAGATGATAACGTACAGTAGTGTGATGTGTCCTACCTGTTCACACAAGACTGAAACCACAAGGCCGCCCCACCAACCATCAGACATGTAGATGATAACGTTCAGTAGTGTGATGTGTCCTACCTGTTCACACAAGACTGAAACCACAAGGCTGCCCCACCAACCATTAGACATGTAGATGATAACGTACAGTAGTGTGATGTGTCCTACCTGTTCACACAAGACTGAAACCACAAGGCCGCCCCACCAACCATCAGACATGTAGATGATAACGTTCAGTAGTGTGATGTGTCCTACCTGTTCACACAAGACTGAAACCACAAGGCTGCCCCACCAACCATTAGACATGTAGATGATAACGTACAGTAGTGTGATGTGTCCTACCTGTTCACACAAGACTGAAACCACAAGGCCGCCCCACCAACCATTAGACATGTAGATGATAACGTACAGTAGTGTGATGTGTCCGACAAGGCCACCGCACCAACCATTGGACATGTAGATGATAACGTTCAGTAGTGTGATGTGTCCCACAAGGCCGCCCCACCAACCATTAGACGTGTAGATGATAACGTTCAGTAGTGTGATGTATCCTACCTGTTAACACAAGACTGAAACCACAAGGCCGCCCCACGAACCATTAGACATGTAGATGATAACGTTCAGTAGTGTGATGTATCCTACCTGTTCACACAAGACTAAAAACCACAAGGCCGCCCCACCAACCATTAGACATGTAGATGATAACGTTCAGTAGTGTGATGTATCCTACCTGTTCACACAAGACTAAAAACCACAAGGCCGCCCCACCAACCATTAGACATGTAGATGATAACGTTCAGTAGTGTGATGTATCCCACAAGGCCGCCCCACCAACCATTAGACATGTAGATGATAACGTTCAGTAGTGTGATGTATCCCACAAGGCCGCCCCACCAACCATTAGACATGTAGATGATAACGTTCAGTAGTGTGATGTATCCTACCTGTTCACACAAGACTAAAAACCACAAGGCCGCCCCACCAACCATTAGACATGTAGATGATAACGTTCAGTAGTGTGATGTATCCCACAAGGCCGCCCCACCAACCATTAGACATGTAGATGATAACGTTCAGTAGTGTGATGTATCCCACAAGGCCGCCCCACCAACCATTAGACATGTAGATGATAACGTTCAGTAGTGTGATGTATCCTACCTGTTCACACAAGACTAAAAACCACAAGGCCGCCCCACCAACCATTAGACATGTAGATGATAACGTTCAGTAGTGTGATGTATCCCACAAGGCCGCCCCACCAACCATTAGACATGTAGATGATAACGTTCAGTAGTGTGATGTATCCCACAAGGCCGCCCCACCAACCATCAGACATGTAGATGATAACGTTCAGTAGTGTGATGTATCCCACAAGGCCGCCCCACCAACCATTAGACATGTAGATGATAACGTTCAGTAGTGTGATGTATCCCACAAGGCCGCCCCACCAACCATTAGACATGTAGATGATAACGTTCAGTAGTGTGATGTATCCCACAAGGCCGCCCCACCAACCATTAGACATGTAGATGATAACGTTCAGTAGTGTGATGTATCCCACAAGGCCGCCCCACCAACCATCAGACATGTAGATGATAACGTTCAGTAGTGTGATGTATCCCACAAGGCCGCCCCACCAACCATTAGACATGTAGATGATAACGTTCAGTAGTGTGATGTATCCCACAAGGCCGCCCCACCAACCATCAGACATGTAGATGATAACGTTCAGTAGTGTGATGTGTCCTACAAGGCTGCCCCACCAACCATTAGACATGTAGATGATAACGTTCAGTAGTGTGATGTATCCTACCTGTTCACACAAGACTGAAACCACAAGGCCGCCCCGCCAACCATTAGACATGTAGATGATAACGTTCAGTAGTGTGATGTGTCCCACAAGGCCGCCCCACCAACCATTAGACATGTAGATGATAACGTTCAGTAGTGTGATGTATCCTACCTGTTCACACAAGACGAGTTATTATGATGACTTACAACTGCTTCACTATTGTTCCAGCTTCATCAACAACCATGCGAACTCCTACCAATATCGCCACCGCCCTGGCCTGTCTGTTGGGACTTGCTGCAGGTGGGTATTTACCACAAAGTAACAAACTATTCTCATCAGCTGGTGATAAAGGTTTTGAACAAATAGCGTTTTATATAGTACCTTGTCATTTTTTGTTTGTAAAAGAAGCAACAGTTTATTGTACATGTAATTATAAGTGCAACTTATAAACTGGAGTTGAACTTTAAATTTTTTTTATGTTTTCAGACGTTTTTCAGGAATATATTCTATACTCGAACTGATTGTCTAGGACAATATGGTGTGGTAATTCCTGGTTACAATAGGTCCCAGTGCCCACGCCTGAGGTAAGAGCTGACCGATGAGTATCAGGTGGTCACAATGGCTACCCCAACATATCATCGCTCATGGACCACTTGGATGGTTGCCCAGAACTATTAACTATTGTTTTCTCTGGCCCCGATGATCTACTGACCTTCGTGTTATGACTGCAATATTGGTGAAACAGCTTCCACTCAATCCCTCACGTATCTTGGTTGGTTGGTTTGTTTGTTTGTTGTTTAACGCCGCACTCAGCAATATTCCAGCTATATGACGGCGGTCTGTAAATAATCGAGTCTGGACCAGACAATCAAGTGAATAATATCATGAGCATCGATCCACGGTATTGGGATCGATGACATGCTTCAACCAAGTCAGCGAGCCTGACCACCCGATCCCGTTATCGCCTTTTACGACAAGCATGGGTTGCTGAAGATCTATTCTACCCCGGATCTTCACGGGTCCACGCATCTTGGTAGTATCGACAGCGACAGATTAAATATACACTGCCGGACAAAAGAACGCATACACCCATGATTGATGGTATCCAGAAATAAGTGAGTGAGTTGGGTTTAACGCCGCTTCTAACAGTATTCTAGTTATATCGTGGCGTGTCAGCTTAATGTGGGAGTAAAACCCGAAGTGAGGACAGCGAATCGCGGCGGCTGAGACGACTGGGCCACCCGTGTCCCCGGCTAGAAATGAAACAATCACGAAATGGCTATTCGATAGTGGTGTTTTTAATACGGGTATGATAATTGTGTTTTGGACTGTGCACTTTTCCATCCCCTGTACATTGTATTCGTTTGACGCTAATGCTAACTAGATTTTGGTAATAAAATGAGTCACCAATATGCTGTATGACGATGGTTCGAATTCTAAAATATGAGGTCTAAAGTAAAGCAGAGGTCTGTAATTAATCCAGTCTGTGCCAGACAGTCCAGTGATTGACATCATGGGCATAGATCAATGCCATAGGGATACGATGGCATGCATCATTCAAGCCAGAAAGCTTGCCCACCTGATCCTGTAAGTCGCCTCTTACGCCAAGCATATGTTCCTGAGGAACAATTCTTACCCGTATCTTTACGGGTTAATATATAGAGAATCTCACCCAAGTGTATTTAGATATCAAATATATCAACACGAGTTGATAAAAGTGGAAAAATTCGGAGGCTTGCCAAGGATATTTGCCACTTTTATCAATGAGTGTTGATATATTTGATGTCAAAAGACACGAGGGTGAGAATTTATTTATCATCCAACATCTTTCTTCCAACTTTTTTAATTTGTAGACAATAATTAGCAGTGTCTTCAGTGTAAAAAAAGTACTGCTAACAGCTGCAGTAGCAGAGCCCTTAGTGATGTCATATGATTGTGACGTCATGGTAACCAGTGATGTCACAATTGTCTGCAAAGCATTGTGATGTAATTTCATTGCAGCGATATCTACAGTGTAGATATCGCTTGATCTCATCCAAGCGATATCTCCTGTGGGAGCCAGTTTTGGATGATAAATATAATATATCATACCATTTATTTTTACCTAGCGCAAAACCCGTGCATCACGACCTGTACCGACTTACCTGACGGCGACTACCAGTCGTGCAACGGCTGCAAGGTGTACGCCACTTGCTGGCATGGGCAAATCTTCGACGACAGGCCGTGTGTCGGGGACACCCTCTGGGACGACTCCTTCAAGCACTGCGAGTTGAGCTCCGCTACATGCACGCCGTACGTAACTGTTGTACTTGGATTTGTGTTGATCTCGTTATCTCAAAGTCCTCGAGTTGAGCTCCGCTACATGCACGCCGTACGTAACTGTTGTACTTGGATTTGTGTTGATCTCGTTATCTCAAAGTCCTCGAGCTGAGCTCCGCCACATGCACGCCGTACGTAACTGTTGTACTTGGATTTGTGTTGATCTCGTTATCTCAAAGTCCTCGAGTTGAGCTCCGCTACTTGCACGCCGTACGTAACTGTTTGTACTTGGAGTTGTGTTGAGCTCGTTATCTCAAAGTCCTCGAGTTGAGCTCCGCTACATGCACGCCGTACGTAACTGTTGTACTTGGAGTTGTGTTGATCTCGTTATCACAAAGTCCTCGAGTTGAGCTCCGCTACATGCACGCCGTACGTAACTGTTGTACTTGGAGTTGTGTTGATCTCGTTATCTCAAAGTCCTCGAGTTGAGCTCCGCCACATGCACGCCGTACGTAACTGGTTGTACTTGGATTTGTGTTGATCTCGTTATCTCAAAGTCCTCGAGTTGAGCTCCGCTACATGCACGTCGTACGTAACTGTTGTACTTGGATTTGTGTTGATCTCGTTATCACAAAGTCCTCGAGTTGAGCTCCGCTACATGCACGCCGTACGTAACTGTTGTACTTGGAGTTGTGTTGATCTCGTTATCTCAAAGTCGTCGGGGTCGTCGAATCATAATCGAAGACAGTCACCTACGATTAAAACGAACTCAAAGGGACACTTATTTTAGTTCGTAATAACCGTAGTTCGTTATAAGCATATACAGCATACGTACAGCAAATGGTCGGGACAACAAAAATAAGTTCGTTATATCCGTCAGTTAGTTAGAAGCGTGTTCATTATACACGTAGTTAACTATATGTGATTCGAGATAAGCGAAGTTTCTAATTTTGGACACAATACCAAAAAGGATTCTTCAAGGACAATACAAATATTTTATAGAGCCTTATTTCGATCATTTAAGAAGTGTTGAATTAACTATGCTTGTAAGATTTCATGTGTGGCCATTTATTTTGACACATTTTGTATATTGTTAATCTAATGAATAGTTTTTAAAGTTGAGATAATAGTTGAAGAAAAAGAAACCATGAATGAATAGAAACAATTTTTATTTTTATTGTTGCTTAACATGCTGAGAGTTTATTATAGACGTTAACATTGCTATGGACTTTTTAACAATGGCTGTATTTATGTATGGCTGTGACCCGCCAGGAGAAAGGGTTGCAATGATACAACTGTGCTATGACGTCAAAAAGACGTTTGACGTCAACTTATTTCAGTGAAGATCGATATATGAGATGTAATGTATCATAATGAAAATGAATTGCAGCTTGCCAATTCTATTTTTATGTTCCAAAGATGCTGTAGTTTTAAAACATGATGAAAAGTCAAAATGTGATTTATCTCATTATCTCATGGTTGGTCACGTGTTTTCAATATGATATCAGACATATGAAAACATAAAATCTTGAGTTAAAAGATTAAAATATGATAAATTCTTAAAAAATATAAATTATTTTATTTCAAAATGATTTTTTTAAAAACAAGAATATATTACAATGGTATAATTAAGTAATATGAACATGAGACAATAGGAAAGCAATAATAATAACATATAAATATCAAAGCATCGTGTCACGATTACAAAAAAAATATGAAAGAATTAAGACGAAACTATGGATTGGTAATGAATATAAGATTACCAAAGTATTCTTGGAGTGAGTGTGTAAGTATGGTTTTACGCCGCTTTGTGCAATATTCCAGCAATATCCAGCGGGGGACACTAGAAATCGGCTTCACACATTGTACCCATGTCGGGACTCGAACCCGGTCTTCGGGGTGACGAGCGAACGCTTTAACCATTAGGCTACCTGGTATTCTTGGAAGGGGGGGGGGACTACAGTCATGAGGCCGTAGTTTGAATCCTGTACCCGAGGAAACATCTATATGTCCTATAACCGGAATGCAACATGGCCTCTCTATTTCAGTACAACCTGCGTGAGCAACTGTAACGGTATGGCCGACGGCAACTATGAATCCTGCAATGGCTGCAACGTGTACGTAACCTGTCATGCTGGCAACATCATCGATAACAGACCCTGTCCTGCTGGACTCGTGTTCAACAGCAACACGAAAGGATGTGATCACAAATCCCCCTCATGTCCATAGCCACGTGCCTCATTGAAATGGCCCCCCGAGGCCTGGGGATACGGGATCCTAATGTCTGAATGTACACAGTGCATTTCTGTTTGATATGCCGTGAATAAAACATTTTTTCTGTTTGATCAATGTGCATTTTGTTCATGATAAAGCGCTTTTATAGATGTGTACTGTACATGTGAAAGTCAAGCCGTAAAAATAAGCTTACCTACCTCTCCCGAAAAGACGGTGAGTAGAGATGACTGTATTTCCCAGACTTAGACTGATATGTAATTTTCATATGCTTCATAATACTGCAAGTATTCACATGTTTGTTTGTTTTTATAAAATACGCTTCTAAAACTAATGAAATGCTTGGACAAAAGTGTAGTATATATCGTCCATTTAATTGAAATCTGACTTTGGGGGTGGGTTGGTGTTGCTAGAGAAAAAAGCTTTCAATATATCATTTGTTTTATTGTCGGATATCCATTTACCACATTAGTCAGTGAATAACGAACATCATTGAAATGACAATAAAAAAGCTCTCATATGACCATGTTGAAGAACTATGTAAGATCTTGATCTTGAAATCAGGTCGAAATGGCGGCCATCTTGAAATTCAAGATGGCCACCACACATGTTCATGGAAAAAACTCATAATTTTTCTTTATGTCTTTACTATTTTGGTGTTTTTAAGCATTGTTGCAATTATCTTACACACCAAACAACATTAACATAATCTACATCCATATCTCAACAAGCAATTTGCGTCAATATTGATTTTTTGGGGTGGGGTAACATTGTATACAATATCTCAGCCCCTATGTAATATATTTTGATTTTGTTTTCTGTATAGGATAGAACAATGATCCAGACAAATTGTGATAGACAGTTATAGTGGTTTTAGTGTCACAATTGAATGTAATTAGTGTTTTACCTACAGACAAGATTTGAAAAAAAAATGATTTCTATCAATGTTTTCACTGAGAATTAGAATAACAGTACAATGAGACAAAATGTTTGCCAAATTCAGATAACCGAAGACATAAATTGGAAAATTTAATAAGAAAACAAAATGTAACAGCCAATTTGGTCAAATTATGCATTTTCCCTTCAATTTGTCTAATTCTGACCCCTTGAAAATTCACTTACATGCTTACTACCCATCGGACAGTGTGTGTAGATGCGTTCTTCATGCAAAAGAAAAAAGTGGGAAACTAATAGTGTTGTTGGCTGAAATTTGTAACTGCTTGGTCAAGTAGTTGCATGTGTATTATGCGTACTGTTCAAGGGTGTGTTTCCGCGATCTGTTCTTGAGTGAAACATGGATTCTGGGTCTTAAATACACCGCGTTTCTCTCATCTGAAACTGGGGAAGCATTGGTCCGATATTGACCAAATTTGACACATGTATGTAGACTAGGAGTGATGATCCTAGTGACTCAAGGCAGTCCCATAGCTCTGCATACTATGGGACATTCATATTATTTAAGCTAACGCCTTCAAAAGTAGTTCATATAACTGTATAATATTTAAAGGCATGATGAACGTTTTGAAATTAATATAGTCATATAGGGGTATCTAGGTTATATTCTCAGAACCTTATCCACACAGGGGACGGTCGGGTAGCCTAGTGGTTAAAGTGTTCGCTCGTCACGCCTAAGACCCGGGTTCGATTCCCGACATGGGTACAATTTGTGAAGCCCATTTATGGTGTCCCCCGCCGTGATATTGCTGCAATATTGCAAAAAAAGCGGCGTAAAACCAAATCTCACTTACACTCACTCACTTAACCACATGGAGATTAACGTTTCTTCGTATTTCAAGCAAAATGATACAATATTAAAAATTAAATGTCGAATAGGCTCTGAAGTAAGACTCATTACAGAAAAAGATAGCCAGTATACCCCCAACAAATAATATACAGATTATGTATTGCGTGCATGTAGTTCTATGTGCATTTGTGAACCATGTCTGAAGTCAACCAATTCTCTTTTGGGAGTAATTTTAAAAATGTCACGGTTTCAGTGATTCACTCAAATTCATCACAGACCAAGATGCCTTTTTAAACGTTGATGATTGCCTATACCGTCAAGTATTGCTGTTTTATGACAACAAGATTTCAATACATGCTCAAGCAATCTTAAATCAAACAAATTAACACTGTTAACGTTGTGAATTTGTTTTATTGCACTTCTTGTGTGTCTTAGTTTATCAACATGATACATAATTTGGTTTTCTTTCAGAACATGATATACATCCATCAATATACCTCACACACTTTAAATGTTCTTTAATTTCACATTAAGCAATAGCTCAGGTATATGAATGTATGTAAATAATTAAATATGGGCTGGAAAACACAGTGACCTTCATGAGATAACAATTGTATTGTCTTCTGAAACACATTGTATGAAGTAAGGAAAATATGAAAACATTGAACATATCATAGATCAATGCATCATATTAATAAGAAAGATGACAAATATTCATTGCCCAAACAAAGCTAAAGAAACTCATTTGTACAATTAAACAGATACACTCTTCCAAAAAAAGAAACTCACAGATATATTTTAGTAAATGTGATGTACCAAATAAGTCGATATATTTAATTTAATATCATAGGTACAAATATGAAATTTTTGAGCTCGATAGTCACATGTTGTCGTTGTACAAAGGCTATACATTGTCATGTCACATAAGGCCACAGGGTGGCGCTGAACTCGGTATCTTGTATGGCCGCCCAAGGCAGCAATCACAGCTCTGCATCTCCTCGGCACTGACTGGATAAGAGTACGAATTCTGTTCTGCGGAATTCTGCGTTATTTTGCCTGTAACGCGTTGGCCAGTTGTGGGACTGTCTGCGTTGACGTACACGTCGATCGAGTTTATTCCAGATGTGTTCGATTTGGTTGAGATATGGAGATCTAGACGGTCAGGGCAAGGCGTTGATGTTGGCATTATCAAGGTAGTCTTACGTGACACGAGCTGTGTGCGGTGGAGCGTTGTCCTGTTGAAACAGCTCCCTCCATGGGGCAAAACGCTCATTTAGACGACGATAAACACGTTGTCTTCCATCTCGCCGGTGAAGAAGAAATCGTGATTCATCGCTGAACCACACTCGTCTCCAGTTTCTCAAATTCAAAGGCTGTAAGGTATGGCACTAACGCAAGCGTCGCTGTCGGATCTGTTGCAAAACAGGCACGATAACTGGTCTTATGGGTCGGATCCCAGCCTCGCGAAGGTGGCTCTTGACAGTCTGGTCTGATATCCTCCTCAAACAAGGGATGCGTCCTACAGTCTCCGTGGCTGTGGGATTGCGATGACGTAGGTGGAACAGTTGAATGTAACTATCCTGTGCAGGGGTGGTTACTCTTGGTCAGCCGGTTCTCGGAATGTCTGCAGTGGAATTGAACTGTATCAGTCTCAAATCCCGATCGGCAGCGCTCGTCTCGACTCGTCTCGTCATGATCGAAATTGAAAAATGTTGCCAATTGAAAGACAAATTATTGACTTATGCTTGCCTTTTTATAGCCACTACCACGAGTTATGAATGGCATAACTTGCACGTACATTTTCCTTTACTGTTTTCCTTTTTACTGTTTAGATTGTGGTGAATTCCTAGAAAAAACATATTCACTCACTCGAGAGTGAACACATGTATTCAAATCTGTTATTGTGTATTTAAGAGTGTGCACTGAATTCAATTTCGATACCTTATGCCCGGGATATGTTGGTGTGGCCCTATTGTAGCCCGGGATCATCAAGGGCTAGATGGGCCTTAGCATAAGTGTAAAAATGCCACCCTCAGCAATATTGCAACTGACAGCCCCCTGTAAATAACACACCACACATTAAGTTGTTGTTCTCTGTGATTGAGACCGCCTCCGTGGTCTAGTGGTAGAGCGTCCGCCCGGAGAGCGGAAGGTCCGGGTTTCGATCTCTGGCCGCGTCATACCAAAAGACGTTAAAAGATGGTACTTGTTGTTACCCTGTCTGGCGCTCGGCATTAAGGGGCTAAAACAAGGACTGGTCGGCTCGGAGTCAGTATAGTGTGTCTGAGTGGGGTATTCATGTTAAACTGCGGCATGGTATCTCAGTGGGAAAGCACTATAAATCTGCATCAGTCGGGACTAGTACAAGCAGCCACATAAACATACACACGTGCATGCACGTCGCTATATAAGTGCAATAATCTTGGACGCGACGTTAAACCCCATTTCACCTCACCTCACCTCTGTGATTGACAGTGAGCAGCGACTTACATCCTCGGGGTTCGACCCCCCACATAGATAACATGTGTGAAGGTGTCACGAGCCGTGATATTGCTGAAATGTTTCTAAATTCAGCATAAAACCATATTCATCCACTCGAAAGTGTCGTAAAACTATACTCACTCACTTGAAACTGAACACACTTATTCATTCCTGTTATTGTGTATATTAGAGTGAATATTAAATTCAACTGCTGTCGGGTTTTTTTAAATTTGAAAACAAAAGCAATGTATTCTTGCAAACAAATTATTCAAAGTAAACAAAGTAAACAGTATTTTTGGGTGCAGGATATTCAAGGACACAATATCCAATGTATCACGACGAATCTGTGTTCATATTAGTTTCAATTACCTGCTAGCATGTCTAATATATTGATAGTAAACTCCTTGATTTAATTCTTCTATTGTGTATTTTAAAGTGTGCATTGAATTCAGCTGTTGCTGTCAATTCTGAAATTCAAGCTACCAATGGTTTTCTGCAGGAGAATGAACAAAGTTTACAGCAGTGTTTTAGGTCGCAGAAACACAATGACAGATATTGCCTATCTGTTTTGTCTTAGATTTTAATTTTAAAACACCTGTTGAATTTTAAAATTATTTTGATTTCCTCAAGTGGAATAACAATTCAGATTTTAATTTTGAGTGTGTCACAAACCAATACATACTCCTAATATTATTAAGAAAATAACAAAACATTAGTCCAATTACCATTTAAATTAGATTCAAGCATCCAGTATGATACTTTATGAACATACGACTACTTCAAAATCTGCAAATTGGCTGGTCGAAAATTAAAGAGGTGAAAGAATAGGTCAGACCTCGAACGTAAACATCGAGCTTGTTGTAATGTATGTGCAAGAATTTTTTTAAATTTTTTTGCCTATGAAA